GAGTCCCTGGTGCATTCTGAGCTTGGTTGTTCCCCTGTACGTATTTTTCTCTGTCCTGCAGGAGAACAACCAAGCTCAGTGAGTAGCAGGGACCCCACAATTCAGGCTTGATCTACGAATATTCTTTCCCATTGGTACCCCAACTATTGAGTATCAGTTCGTGAAACTGAGCATAGAGCAGGCCTGCTCTTTCTGTCCCTCCCCTTCTTTTTATCCTCGGCTGTTCTCCATATGAGGAGGCAGTCGGGTTTGTTGGATTTAAGCGGTCCTCCCACCTTCCCGTTCTTCTGGCTCCGCACCCCACAGATCGATTACCCAGAGATCGCTGAAAGTATCATGCCGAGGCACCGCTTTATGTCAGCGTACGAGCAGAGAATTGAGCCTCCCGACCGGCGTTGGCAATACCTTTTGATGGCAGCAGAGCCCTATGAGACCATCGCTTTCAAGGTAATGTTCTAGTCTAGCCTCTTTTTTGGTGAGGTTCTTGGGACATGCAAAAGGGCAGATTTAGCTGTGGAAATGTAAGTGCTTCTGGGAAGGGCTTTGGTTTGAGGGCTTTCAAAGGAAGGGGAATGATGTGGAACAGAAGTCTTAAGATTAGGGCTTCTATTAAACTTTGCCATGAAAATAAATCTAATTGTTCTAGAATTTCTGTTTTGTGTTGGAACAATTGGTATCGTGAGATCAAATCCTGAAAGCTGAACTTGAGTCTCAAGCTTCCCTGACTGGTTGGTTGTCCCTTCTCAAGGAGACAATTCCTGATTATCTGGTGGATCGAATGAGAGAGATTACTCGTTTCTTTCCATGGACAAGTACCAGCTGCTGCTGCTGCATATCGGATGCAGCCAAAAATTGGATGCTGCACTTGGGATGTCAGGATTGATAGTTTGCAGCACCTGAGCTACCCGATTCAAAAAGGCAGCGTGGTGGCCTAGTGGTGAAACGCTCGCTTCCCACTCGGAAGGTGGAGAGTTCAATCCTAGGAAGCAGCAGATGTTTCTCTCAGCTTGATTTTTCTTCTTTCGGTTGATGCAAAGATCAAAGCATCGTCGACTCTTTTATCTTGGCCTTGATAGGAAAAAAAGAGAGATGCCCCCCCCCCCCACCTCCTTCTGTTATTATCTCTTTGAACAAACTGGATGCCTTCTTTCATAAGCTGCTGAACCCAGCCTTTGATGTCCTGGGATGCCTCAGCTTGGCACTGCTCCTAACCTTTTCCCTTCCTCTTTTGCAGGTGCCCAGTAGGGAGATTGACAAAGCTGAAGGCAAATTCTGGACTCACTGGAATCGAGAAACAAAACAGGTAAGGGGTTAAGGGATTAAAAGCCGGCTTGTCGAAGGGAGCTGGATAATTTGAAAGCTCCTTTTAAAAACCAGCCGTCTATCACCTTGGCAGAGGCACTGTTGAGAGGAATTGTAAGCCAAGATCAGAAATCCTAATCAGCATCGTGAATAGAAAAGTAAAGATCACCTTCCTGGATCGCCGTCTTTTTAGTCCTAGACGTTGGAGTGGCAGGCTTAGTGCCTGAGGCATTCCTGTGAAGCCTGTAGCATAAATACTTGGAGGCAGATTCTTTGGAAGCTGGAGAGGACTCGGAGACAGAGTCTCTAAAACAAAATTTATAAAATAGTGCACTGGCTGAGGAATTCTGGGAGTTGAAGTCCACCAGTCGTAAAGTTGTCAAGGTTGGAGACTAGTGGATATTTCTGTGTCATATCTTTTGCGTAACTTGGATTCACTCAATCAGTTGGGGTGGCAGAACCGTTTTCAGCCAGCTAGGTAGGAACTCTTGTGAATCAGGCTGACCTGATCGGAAGTGCGCAAGAAAGCTTCTGTGGATGTTTACTCCCAAGCCCTGGTTTGGAGGAATCCTTTGTGAAGATCTAACAAGATCCTTGCAGTCAAATAAAATCTAATGTTCTCTCCCCCCCCCCTTTTTTCTCCCCCCCTCTAGCTCCTCCTTCAGTTCCCTTTCAAGATGGAGAAGCCACCTGCTCCTCAAAGTATCCCACCTCCAGCTACCGTGAAGCGGCCTCCTCCCCCCCCCACGAATGGCCTGCCCCCCCCCCCCCCCCCCCCCGAACCCGCCCCACCCCCTCCTCCTGGGGGCATGGTTATGCCTCCCATGCCTCCCCCGACAGGACCGCTGCCCCCAGGCCCACCCCAGTTGCCCCCAGCCCCCGGCGTCCCTCCTCCTGCTCCAATGCCCCCAATGCTGAGACCCCCTCTCCCCACGGAAGGACCGGGGAGCATTCCTCCACCACCCCCTACCAGTTGAAAAGTCTGCGCTTCCTGTCCTTCCCTGGCACCATTTTTTTTAAAAGGCACCAGTTGATCTTGTCTCGTTTCTTTCCTTGTGTACTTTTTAAATACATCAGTGGCTTCAGTTCAGAATCTTGTGACTTCATTTTTTTTAAAAAAAAAAACTTATCTTCATTCCTCCCATCCTTCTAACGAAGAAGAAATATCGATCTTAAAAACTTTCACCTCTAGAGAAGCGTTTCTCAACCTTGGCAACTTTTAAGATGTGTTGGACTTCAGCTCTCAGAATTCCCCATGCTGGGAGAATCCTGGAACTTGAAGTCCACACATCTTTAAAAAGTTGCCAAGTTTGAGAAACGCTGCTCTAGACTACTTTTAAGTAAAATAATTTGTTTTACATTGGGGGCTTTGCTTTTTGAAGATAGTTCTTTGTGGGAAACAGATAACCACCAAGATCCTGGTTCCTTCTCTGCCTAACTAGATTTGCCATTATTCGCCTCAGATGTGTGCCCAGAGCTAATCAAATGCAGAAGGCAGCTTCAAGCTTCATTGAAACCTATGGCCAGAAATCTTAGAAGAGCACAGCTGGATTGTTAGGTTTATAGTTTGCTTTGGGTACTGCTGTAATCAGCAAGGATTCCTGGCAATTAACACCACAATCACATAAACATAAAACCCACAAAACCACAGGGTTGCATTACTAACTCCTGGTGGCACCAGTCCTGACATTCTCCAGAGTAATTTGGTTTAACCAGTTTCCACAAATTCGGTAGGAGTGAATGGAGCCCAGGGGCCAGGTTCTTCTCTCAAACAGTCCAGATGCTGTCTTTTATACCTTTCCTAACAATCCCAATCACAGAATTTGGGTTTGTTTGTTTGTTTGTTTTCATAGCTGCTCCTATGGCTTGACAATTTTATTGGCTATTTGCCACAGCGATCTTTTTTTTATGTTAGCAAAAATGATTCTAAAAATGAAGTAAAAGTAATTTTTCAAGTTATAGTAATGCAGAATTTGTTCAGGAACCAATAGTTGGGGCCTGGGATGGACGGATGGATAAGGTAGGAAAGTAGATGTAGGAAGGAAAAGTTGACTACACAGAAGGAATTTGTGGTTGCAGTAAAATAGCACAGTGGGGTTCAAGATAATTGAGATACAGGTTGTTCTAAATTAGCAACCACCTTGTTTAGGGACTTACTTGCAGTTACAGTGGTGATGAAAAAATAACCTTACAACCAATGCTCACATTTACAACTTTTGCAGGTAGGTAAAGCAAAGGAAAACTGAATTAAGATAATAAACATAATTGTGGTTCACTTAACAGCCATTTCCCTTAATGCCCAAGTTGCCTATTCCAGTTGTTGCTAAACAAAGGACTATCTCTATCTTGACATCTATAAACAATCATTGATTACACTCATTTATGGTGAGGTTCCCCAGAAAGTTGACCACAAGGGTCAACTTGTGGTTGACCACAAGGGTCAATGGGATAATTCAAGAGGTCAGTAAATGGGGGTCAAAGGGGGTTAGTAAAGGACCAGATGATAGTGGTGAAAAAGTCAATTGAGGTCAATTCATCTTTTGGGGTTCCTTTAGATCTTCACCCTAATTCTGACAGTGAGGGGGCTAGTGGTGAGACTCTGACCCAGGGTGGGATAATCAACTGCTAGAGAGAGCAGCCTTGTCTCTATTATTTGTAATGCTATTAAAATATTAACATTTTTATATGATGGAACAATCTGAAACTTCATGAAGGTTTTGATGAGCCTTGATTTTGAGGAAATCAAGGAAGCCTTGATTTTTGGCTACACAGCTTGTTAAAGTTGGGATCATATCAAACTTCTTGCCATTTTGAAAAATCACAGTGCACTTGAGAACAACACAAGGTAATGCCTCAAGAATGCAATATTAGCTGAGCAATACCTATACCACGGGTGTCAAACTCATGGTGTCACGTTGCCCTCGCATGACGTATTGGGACATTTTTTTCCCTTTGCTGAGCTGGAATGGGTGTGGCCTGCACACAACGCATCCCACCCGTGGGCCATCAAGCTGACACCCCTGACCTATACTGTGGAAGCATGGCAGGTATAGTATATAAACTTGCAGAGATTGCAAGACTAGGATGATCTGGCTTTGACCGTGAAATAAATCTCTTACTACCGGGTGCATGTTCACACACCAAAATAACTGCAATTGATCAAAAGCCACAATTTGTAAATTAGCGCTGGTTTGGACCAAAAGTGTTGTCAATTTGTTCACATTCTTTAATGTTTCAGCAACTTTTAAGATGTGGACTTCACAGAAATCCTTAGCCAGCAAGACTGGCTGGGGAATTCTGGGAGTTGAAGTCCACATGTCGCTGAGGTTGAGGAACACTGTTCCAGGGTAAGGATTTCATTAATGCCCTACCTCCTTCCATGGGAGATTCCCAATAGTAAGGCATGATTAAGGCCTTCTTCCTACAGTTTGTAAACTCAGGGTTAACCAGGGGTGGGTTTCTACCGGTTCTGTCCACCTCTGTAGAACCGGTAGCTCTGAAGAGCAGCAGACATAGAACCGGTTCAATGTCTGCTGCTGTTTTTGCCCACCCGCCCACCTGGGTTCTTACCTGGTCTTTATTTCCTGATTTTTCAACTTCAGCTGCCGAACGAGGCACAGCCACAGTTAAAAAAAGCAGGAAAAGAGGGCTGTTTCAAAGGCTGCGTCTCTGCTGATGACGATTTACAGGTGCGCGGCTCATAGGGTGCATGGAAGCTCGTAAATCCTGAACCGGTAGTTAACCCTGTCGTATCCCACCCCTGGGGTTAATCACCACAGTTCATCAAAAAATTGGATCCATTTTTTTTAAGATTTTATCCCAGCACAGTCTGGATTCCCCCCATTATGCTAGGTTAAAATGTGGTTGGCTAATGTGTATGTTTGTTGCAAAAGCCACCTTCCCCACGTTCATTTAAAATAAGATGCAGAACCTAGCCTACGTCCATTAAATCCATAGCTAATCTTTGAGTGGCCAAAGGCTGCCCTTAATATTTTTGGGTTGGGAGGGTCTACAAAATCAACCATGACATTTGGTCAGGAGGGCTGGAGATCTCTGTAACTATGATGTGGCTATTTGAGGGCACATATCTAGTTCCCAAGTTAAAATGCCTTCTCGACCAAATGCATTTATTTTATTACCATCACCATCCCAATGCATAAAAAAGGGACATAATTTTTATCCTGTTCCTCCAGTGAAGACTGTAGAATAGATTGTCCATTGTCTTGAGATCCCCAGAGACCAAATTTTAAAAAAAGTTTAGCCTCTGGATAAAAGGTATTGCTAACTTGATTTAAAAGTCTGTAGAGATTCTCGGTCATCCTGGTCATGGTTGTTCCAAAGGTGCTTTTTCAAGAGACAACTAGAATTTTGTTTTTGTTTTTTTCCTTGAAGACGTTTCGCTTCTCATCCAAGAAGCTTCTTCAGCTCTGACTGGATAATGGAGCATGGAAGGATTTATACTCCTTGCAGACAGCTGGTCATTTGCATCCTTTTAGAGCAGGGGTCCTCAAACTTGGTAATTTTAAGACTTGTGGACTTCAACTCCCAGAATTCCTCAGCCAGTGAAGCTTGTGGACTTCAAAGCTGGCTGAGGAATTCTGGGAATTGAAGTCCACAAGGCTTAAAGTTGCCAAGTTTGGAGACCTCTGTTTCAGAAGGTCCTTGAAGCACTTGGAGGTTTATGTGTCATTCTTGTCAGAGCTGAAGAAGCTTCTTGGATGAGAAGTGAAATGTCTTCAAAAGAAAAAAAAACAAAGTCCAGTTGCCACCTTAAAAAACACCTTTGGGGCTAACTGAACTAACATTTGAGGGAAAAGGCCTTTAGTACATCTAGTAACAGTGAGTTCTATCATCAGCTCAACCTTCTCATGAAGCATTGCAGGCAGCCATTAAAAGACAAAACAAAATGTCCCTGAAACATTTTCTTCCCAGATTGTTTTAATAGCTAAATTCTTTCACTCCTTAAGATTTTTTCCCCCCTCACGTTCAATTGTGTCTGATTCTCTGATCCTTTAACCTACTTCAATGTATTAATTTAGGTGATAAATATTTAAAGGAACAAATACTTTTCTGCTGATTTAAAAAAACAGCCTTTATATAAGATGATTAAGGGGGAGGAAACACGATAAGCGGACTCTGATACAATGTAAAGACTGAGGTACAAATAGTGTGTGAATGTGGGTTTTGCTTTGATCTCTTGGGGGGTGGGGGATACGATAAAAAGTGTTTATATCAAGGTTGAGCCGGCTTGGATGTTTTGCATTTGCTAAAGCATTCAGACTTAAAAGATATCAAAAAACCTGCAAATAGAACAGCCAGCTTGTTGCAAGAATTCTTCCAAGATCATTCAAGGCCATTAAAGAAGAAAAATTCAGGCCATCTCTCTCTGTGTCTGCCTGTGTGTGTGCGCGTGTGTGTAAGTGTGTGTTATCCGATGCTTTCCCTCCCTTCTGAATTTTCCCTGAGGAATCCTGGAGAGGTGGCTTTAGTTCTTCAGGGAAGCAAGCAGCCATGCAGCTTGGCCTGGCCAGCATCCTCCTGGGTCTCTGGCTAACAGCTGAGTCCCTCTCCTCACCTGCAAAGGGAAACCTCCTAGAAGAAAACCCTCCGAGACAAAGGGAAAGTCCCAATTTAGGAGAAGTGGAATCCCCAGAAGAAGAAGAAGAAGATGTCAAGGTTCCATTGGATTTCCAGGAAGCCCCTTCAAAAGTCCTGGTGGTTTCCCTGGAGTCAGAAGACAGCCTTGGACATCTCCCACCCCACCTGCCCTTGGCTGAGACAGAAGGGAAGCCCTTGAGTTTATGGCCCCAGCCCAGTTCTCAGTCCTGGCTACACGAAAGCTCAGAGGAATCGGTGTGTCACGTGAGGCTGGACGGGGGCAGCTTTTGGGGTCCTAACCATCTGGAGGTAGGGGGTCTCCTTAGCCGTTACGACAGTGGGTTCCTGAAGGCACTGAGCAGATCTGCCTGGAACACAGAAGACCTGGAGACCTTTGGGATATGTCCCTCCAGCCCACCCCACAGCCTTCTCAGGTCACTCCAGCGTGTGGCTGATTCTCTGGGCAGGCCTGCAGGACACCGGTTCTTCATGCTGCATTTGGAAGAAGGTAAGTTCAGACAAGGAAGGGTGGAAAGACATTGGCATTATTACCACTGTCCCTTCCCTCTGTTCTCATTTCTAGAAAGCTTTGTTTAGAATTTCCAAAACGTCAATGGGAGTTTTAGAAAGTGGCCTTGGACAATGGTAATGCTTAGTATAAAGTCATAAAATAGTATCAAGCGATAGTAATAGTATAAAATGTTATAAAATGAGGAAGTGCTTATATAAAGCATCTAAGGTGCTTTTCTAAAATCCCTCCTCCTTTCCCTTTCCTTCTCCCAATGTACATTCTTTTGCTTCAGGCAATTCTATGGAATACCAAATTTAAATCTAAAGTACATTAAATCTAAGCCGATTGTTTTGTAACACCAATACTGAGGTAAATATGCAAGCAGAAGATAGCCGTATCAATGGGTGGCAAAGGAAAAGGGAAAATACTTTTTTTAAAAAAGAAAAGAAAAGAGGAAATTGGAAATTGGAAAAGGAGGGGAAATGGTCCATCTCTTAACTAGGGCTGAAATAGCTTAAAAGTGCAAAATGCAGATTTCTTGTGGGCATGGAGTCCTTTTGATCAGACCAAATAGAAAATAGAATAGAATGAGCTGGAAGGGACCTGGGAGGTCATCTAGTCCAGCCCCCTGCTCAAGCAGGAGAACTTATAGCATTTTTAGATAAGTGGCTGTCTAGTAGACTAGCAATATCATTTAGATTTGTATACTGCTTCACAACTGCTTTACAGCCCTTCTCTAAGCTAGGGTTTGTTTGCTAAGATAAACATGCTCCCTTGCATGCTTTTGGGTCCCGTGTAGCGTCTCTGCCGTCTTCACACAACGCAGGAAACCCTGCACGTGTGGAATTGCCAGCACTGGGTTGGGGATTTGAGCCAAGATATTGACTGGCCAGAAGTCCAAATCAGATCCTTCGTAGGATTGCTCCTGTCCTACATCTCCCTTTGGTGGTGGCGACAGAAGGGGAGAGATTTTTCAGAAAGGATCAGCTGCCCTTCTGGAAAGTAAATAGGGATCAGCTGCAGAGGTTACAAAGAATAAATATCCATCTCCAGCTGTTGCAAATAGTTTGGGTGGGGGGAGAAAGGATTTTCCCAATCACTCTGATGATAGTGAAAGCTTCAGCTGCAGCTTTTAATTATTGCTCTCCAATCAAAGAAAATGGCCCCTCAAATTAGATCTGCTAAGGCATGAAGCAAATCAAGTCTTTTTTTTTTAATTTTTTTTTTTGCAATGCTTAATATTTATAAATTGGGATGACACCAGATGCAGGCTCCTTCTTCTCAGCAAACGTGAAAAGAAACCTTGTAGGATGGAGCAGATAAGACCTCTGCTTTTCCTAAAGGCAGACATAACAAAAGACGTGGACTAGATAGTAGCCTAGCCCCTCTTTTTTAAAATTGTATGTCTTTTTTCAAACTCTTTGGTGTAGTCCATATCTTGCTCTTAGCCAGAGACTTAACAAATCCAATTTGCTACAACATTGGGTACAACATGAGGTAATTCCTCAAATCCACCAAATTACAGGTAGTCCTTGATTTACAACAGTTGATTTAGTTGGCTGTTTGAAGTTACAACGGCACTGAAAAAAGTGACTTATGACCGTTTTTCACACTTACAACTGTAGCAGCACTCCCATGGTCACATGATCAAAATTCAGATGTCTGGTAACTGACTCTATTTATGACCGTTACAGTGTCCCAGGGTCATGTGATCCCCTTTTGTGACCATCTGACAAGCAAAGTCCACGGGGAAGTCAGATTTCCTTAACCCTGTTACTAACTTAACAACTGCAGTGATTTACTTAACTGTGGCAAGGAAGGTCATAAAATGGGGCAAACTTCCATTTTGTTAAGTGAGGCATTAAGAAACGTCTCACTTAGCAACAGAGATTTTGGGGTCAATTCTGGTTGTAAATCGAGGACTACCTGTATGGCATCTTTGAGGACTTGGACTTGGTCATACAATTGGCTAAGTCAGTGACTGGATTCAATGCACTAAATCAGGGGTCTTCAAACTTGACAGCTTTAAGACTTGGGGACTTCAACTCCCAGAATTCCTGCTCCAGTTATGTTAGCTCAGGAATTCTGGGAGTTGAAGTCCACAAGTCTTAAACTTGCCCAGTTTGAAGACCCTTGTGCTAAATCTATCCTGCTTCACCTCAGCCTCACCAAATATCATGTGTGAATCCACCAGTGTCAGGCTAAAGCTCCTCTCAATCTATCTCTTGTTAACGGAACATATCATTTTTCCTTGAGATGTAAACATGGATCAATGGTATTGAACCCCAGGGGCACCTGCAGGATACGGCCAAAATAACCAACATGGCAGCCACAGTACTCTGACTGAGGTTCAGCCCACATTCTGTGGATGCCCCTGATTCAACGGTTTTCAATTTTTAAAATACAGCCAGTTGGCTTGCAACCATTCATTTAGCAACCATTAGAAGTTACCACGGTGCTGGAAAAAAGTTATTTATGACCATTCCTCACACTTATGACTGTTGCAGCATCCTCACGGTCATGTGATCAAAATTTGCACGCTTGGCATCAGGGGTGGTATGTTACCGGTTTGGCCCGGTTTGGCCCAACCGATAGAGAGGAGGAAAAAAAATCCTCCAACAACCAGCTGAGAGGAAAAAGAAGAGAAAAGCGCAGGATAGGCCCTCCAACCCCCCTCTGCGCTTTTCTCTTCTTTATCCTCTCAGCGGATTGGCGCTTCAGGTCTCAGCTGGTATGGGGAAAGCTGCACGCATGCGTTAGGCCAGGGGTCTCCAACCTTAGCAACTTTAAGACTTGTGGACTTCAACTCCCAGAATTCCTCAGCCAGCTTTGCTTCTGGGAGTTGAAGTCCACAAGTCTTAAAGGTGCCAAGGTTGGACACCCCTGCGTTAGGCAAAGCACGCCCACCAAGCCACGCCCACTGAACTGGTGGTAAAAAAATTTGAATCCCACCACTGACTGGCATGTCATGTCCAGAGGTCACATGGTCAACATTTGCAACCTTCCCACCTGGCTTCCAATAAGTGGGAGAAACTGGATTTGCTTAATGACCATGGTGATTCACTGAATGACTACAGCAAAAACAGTGGTTAAATCAGACATGCCTCACTTAACAACCCCCTTGCTAACAATTGCAGTTCCGGTCTCAGTTGTGGTCACAAGTTGAGGAGTACCTGTAGCATAAAACATGAAGAAATAATTTCAATGTGAATCAAATGATGGGTTGAAACTCCAGTGACCAGGAGACCAGGCAGAGAAGGGAGTTGGATAATATGAGACAGGACTGCACCTCAGATGGTTTGTTTTTAAGAGAAATGGGCGGTTACCTGCTTTGTATCCCTTTTTAATTCTCTTCTTCTCTTTTGGTAGTGAAATGGGAAGTCGAGACCAAACTCAGGTTTAAGCTGACCTTTCAGAAGGACGTGGAAGAGCCTCTCAGCTCCTTGCAGCTGGTCCTCCTCGTCTTCTATCAAGGAGAAAAGGAACTTGTGCATCATGGGGTCCCAAAGAGGTTTCTAGTTGGAGGGGCAGGATTACATCAAAAGCAGGTTTGTGGGACAATTCCCCCCCCCCCTGCATTATTTCTAGTAGCTCTCCTTCCTCCAAGGAGATTAAGATAGCACGCACTCCTCCCACAGTTTCAGCTATATATTTATTTTTTTACTTATACTTATTTATTTGTAAGAGAAGAAACAGACATCTTGCCATCTCCGGAACTAAAATTATATTTATTATACTTACTAAGCTTTCGTCAGTCTCTGCTGACATCATCAGAGTATTAAACTACCATTACAGAGATCTATGCTTTTATATATCATTAATCAGTTTAGCGCTTGCACATGTAATAGGCCCTTCCAACCGCCTCCCACCTGTAATTAACTCTGTTGCTTTTGCTTCAGTCATGTTGGTCGATTGAGGTTTATTTATTTGTATATTTATATCCCACCTTTATTATTGTTACAAATAACTCAAGGCAAACATATATAACACACCTATTTTCCCCATAACAATAACCCTGTGAGATGGGTTGGGCTGAGAGAGAGGGACTGGCTCAAAGTCACTCAGCTGGCTTTCATGTCTAAGGCAGACTCGAACTCATAGTTTCCTGGTGATTGGCCCAAAATCCATGCCTAAGGCAGGACTAGAACTGCCAATCTTTTGATGATTGGTCCAAAGTCACCCTGCTGACTTCCATGCTTAAGGCGGGACTAGAACTCACACTCTTTGTTTGTAGCCTGGTGCCTTAACCACTAGACCAAACTGGCCTTCAGTTCTTTGTTTGTTTGTTTGTTTGTTCATTCATTTATTTATTTATGTCTACTTATATACCAACTTTCTGATTTTTATAAACAACTCAAGGTGTGAACATACCTAACATGCTCTCTCTGAGCCCAGCCTACCTTGCAGAGTTGTTGTGAGGAAAATAGGGGGCAGGAATATTAAATATGTTTGCCACCTTGAGTTGACCAAATATATATATATATATTTTAAAAAGCATGATGATGTTGATGATGTCCTACACAATGGATGATTCAAGGAGCTCTTTTGCTTTTTTAGTTCAGATAGTTAAGATAGACGCTCTACAGAATTCCAAAAATGCGACATCAAAGAACCCAAGTACAATTGTGAAAAGCCCCATTCCTGTTTCAATACCATTTACACTTCATTTGACGTCCCCTCCCTTCATAGAATGCTCCCCCCTCCTGTAATTTTTTTCTCTGTTGAAACCAAGGGCCTGGTTTGAAATTTAAAGAAATGAGATTCACTCTGAATATTAGTGAATGTTTGGCAGTGGGAGATCCTAGTGGTTGGAGAAGACAAGTGTTAAAAGAGATGTGGACTTTACTTCGCTGGGATTTTAAAATGGAGACTGGACTGCCAGCTTTTTATGGAAAATTTAGTAGGTTTATAGAATTGGTAAAGGGTTCATTTAGTCCAGGGCTGTTAAACTCACTGCCCGGATGCATCATGTGCTGACCTCGCCCACACCTGACATCGCTGTGACGATGTGAGTTGGACACCCCTGGACTAGATGAATGTTTCTTAACGCCAGCAACTTGAAGATGTATGAAGTTCAATTCCCAGAATTCTGGGATTTGAAGTCCACGCCTCTTAGAATTGCCTGCCAAGGCGGAGCTGATGCTTTTAGCAGGTCACAGGGATTAAATCATTCTTGACCTGAGAATGAAGCCTCAAGGGAGTTTCTGCATTTCATGAGGCAAATGAATGTTTTGAGGAGGGACTTCAATATATGGATGTTGGATTATGTTTATTTTTTAAATTTTCCCATCTCAGGTTGTTTGCCTTTCCAGAGGAACCCGCTACCTTGTCCTCCAAGGCTCCGTGATGTCTGGGAGACATTCTCCTGGTGAATTAAGCTATGAACTTTCCTTGGAAATCAGGCACCAAAACAATACAGGTAGGTGAGAGTTCCCTGGGGGGAGGAATCTCCTGTTCCTCTACTTGAAAAACATAAATTCTAAATAATTGATCAACATGCAGTGATTTTGTCTGGCACAAAATGGAGGCCTTTTGCAGCATCACAAGCAGGAACATTGTGGATCTCCAAAAGTGCTAAACTACGACTCCCAGCAACTTTTCATTATGTGGCCAATAGCGAGGGATGCTAGGAATGTTAGTTTAATGACATTTGGCATGTACGTTTCCTTGTGCTTATGTACAGGTGGTCCTCGAGTTACGGCTATTTGTTTAGTGACCGCTCAAAATTAAAACAGGATTGAAAAAAGTGACTTATGACCAGTCACTTAGCTTTCTAGCTAATCTAAAAGCAGAGCTGAGCCTGAAGCTTCTATTATTCAGTGCAGACTCAGGTAGCAGATGGCAGGAACACAGATCTCTAAGTGAATCTGTGATTCTGTGAGCCACTCAATCTGCCTGCCTGCTCTGCCTGATTTTGGGTAAAAGTTGCTCTTTTTTATTAAAAAAAACCAATATTTACATACATGGTGTGTTGTGAGTTAATTTTGTGAGTTTACTTGCTAGAAAATTTTATAAGTTTGCTTGCAAGCAAATTTTATGTGACAGACTCCGGTAGCCGATTGCAGAAAGACAGATCTCTAAATGAATCGGTGAATCTGTGAGCAACTCAATCTGCCTGCCTGCTTTGCCTGATTTTGGGTAAAAGTTGCTCTTTTTTTAAATAAAAAAATCAATATTTACATAAATATTTGTAATATTTACGTACAAGCCATGCCCAGTCAGTAAGCCACGCCCAGCTGATCACATGACCACCAAGCCACACCCACAAATTAGGCCACACCCACAGAACCGGTTGTTAAGCAATTTGAATCCCACCCCTGATGACAACCCTGAGGTACAACATCTGTGTTATATTTATGGTCTTTGAATTCATTTCCATTGTTTCTTGGGCCTCAGAAACCTACGACAATAAGAGGGAGAATCTCATTGCTGGTCCAATAAGTCATTTTCTTGTTCCTTTTTTTTTGTATCCTTGCCTCCCAGACGCTGCTGTCTCCTCTGATGAAGCCCAGGATCTTCTGTTTGGCTTTGATGCCAAGTGTTTCACTCGCAGGACCCCGGCTGTCTTGTTGTTGGTGAAACAAAACTTCGGTGTTGGCTCCCATCAACCCTCTTCTTTCCTCTCTGCGGACGGCAAGTTAGATATATTGCCATACCTGAAACCCAGGTAAATAGCGTTCTCTAAACTTTGCATCCCATTCTCCACTTGTAGACAGGAACTGGTAGCCGTGAAATTCCAGGCCTGCATGAGAGAACAATTGCACCAATTTGCCTCTCTCGGTGTTTGCAGTTTCCCTTGATTGTGTAGGCTTTTTCCTTGTATTTATTTATAACCTGCCTTTACAGGTAGTTCTCAACTTATGACTGGTCACTTAGCGACAGCTCCAAGTTCCAATGGACCCCTCCCCAAAAGATACTTATGACCCAGTGGCAAAGTTCTGAAGGAAGATCAGAAAATCAGGTCGGTCACATGATGAACCACTTGATGACCGATGACTTAGAACTGTAATAGGGAGACTTCAGTACGCTCAGAAATTGAGGATTACCTATTATTTTTATGAATAATTTAAGGCAGAGAACATACCTAATACTCCTTCCTATTATTTTCCCCAAAGCAACAGCCGTGAGATGAATTAGACTGAGAAAGAGTGATTGGCCCAAAATCACCCAGCCAGCTTTCATGCCTAAAGCAGGACTAGAACCCACAGTCTCCTGATTTCTAGCCCGGTACCTTACACAAGTCATGTGTAAGCATGCACATGCTCTACCACTGCTTTTTACACCCAATTTTGTCTGAAAAACAACTACATGATAAATGGATTTTTTTTCCAATCAGAATAGAGCTGGAAGGGACCTTGGAGGTCTTCTAGTCCAACCCCCTGATTAAGCAGGTAACCCTATACCATTTCAGACAGATGGCTGTTCAGTCTCTTCTTAAAAACCTCCTGTGATGAAACACTCACAACTTCTGAAGGCAAGCTGTTCCACTGGTTAATTGTTCTCACTCTTAGGAAGTTTCTCCTTAATTCTAGGTTGCTTCTCTCCTTGAGTAGTTTCCATCCATTGATTCTTGTCCTGCCCTCTCTGGTGCTTTGGAAAATAAGTTTGGAAAATAACTTCTTTGTGGTGGCCCCTCAAATATTGGAATACTGCTGGATCAGAGGGAATCACCATTCAATCCAGCATCCAGGTTCCCATAGTGGCCAGAGAAGTTACTTCTTACATGCTCATGTTTTAAAATGGCCAGATTCTATTGCGTCCTCAAACTGCAAATGGCACCATAATTCCCATTGCTAAGCAAGACAGTTGTTAAGTGAGTTGTGCTGGGTTTTGTGATCTTTTTTTGTTTTGTTTTTTGGCCACAGGTGTTAAGCAACTCATTGCAGTGGTTAAGTGAATCACACAGTCCTTAAGCAAATCTGATTTCTCCCCTTGGTCTTCTTACTTGTCGGAAGGCAGGTGAGAAGTTTGCAAAGGATGATCACATGACTCCAGGACATGGCAACCATTGTAAATACAGGCCGGTTTCCAAGCACCCAAATTCTGATCACGTGATCGTGGGGATGCTATGATAGTCATAAGTGCGGGGCATGGTCCTAAGTCTGGACTGTTGCTAAATGAATAGTTTATAAGTCGAGGACTATCTTAGTCTGTTGCCAAAACAGAGACGGGTAGAAATGAAGCCCCCTTCCCCAAATATCCAGAATATTGCAGAGTTCACACAAGACATTTAGACCTCAGGGTTAGCCAGCCACTCTCTGGATACCCAGCACTTGCTGGAAATATTTTGTAAAGGGTTTTTTGACTTCCCTGAAATAAATTGAACTTCTCAGAAGATCTGAGATTCCTGCAGGCCTCTAATTGCTTCCAATCTTGCCTGCCCAGAAGTCTGATAAGGACTTTGGGAAACCCTCAAAGGGAACATTTTGTCGCTTCCGAGGAAAGCAACAACGTAAATAAAGGAGATAAGAGCCATTTCATCACCATTTGTTTCCAAAATCTCCTCCGAAAAACACTGAAATTTTGTTTTTGTTTTTTGTTTTTTTGCAAAATTGAAAGAGCAGGAAGTGTCAGTGGTTCTTGCAAGAAGATGGCCATTTTAAAATGTTCGCATAACTTTAATGTGAATGTAATTAAGTCAGTTAATTACTCTTCATTTAATGTTTGAGGTCTGCGGGCTGAATGCTATCTTGCGTTGTCTCAATGTTTTCTTCTGTGAAATCAGCTTTGTTTCCCTTTTCTTCCCCTTGAAATGCTTTGAGAATCACGTTTCTCTTCATGCATCAAAATTATATATTATTAGATTTTTTTATCCCTTTATTATTTTATAAGTAACTCAAGGCAGTGAATACACCCTGTACTCGTTTCTCCTCCTATTTTCTCCACAACAACCATCCTGTCAGGTGGGTTGCGCTGAGAGAGAAGAACTAGCCCAAAGCCAACCATCCGGCTTTCATAACTCAGGTGGAACTAGAACTCACCATCTCCTGGCGATTGCCCCAAAATTACCCATGCAGCTTTCATGCCTCAGGTGAGACTAGAACTCACCATCTGTTGGCGATTGCCCCAAAATTACCCATGCAGCTTTCATGCCTCAGGTGAGACTAGAACTCACCATCTGTTGGCGATTGCCCCAAAATTACCCAGCCAGCTTTCATGCCTCAGGTGAGACTAGAACTCACCATCTCCTGGTGATTGCCCCAAAATTACCCAGCCAGCTTTCATGCCTCAGGTGAGACTAGAACTCACCATCTGTTGGTGATTGCCGCAAAATTACCCATGCAGCTTTCATGCCTCAGGTGAGACTAGAACTCACCATCTCCTGGTTTCTGGCTTGATGCCTCCACCACTAGACCAAACTAGCTCCACTGAAGAGTACAAATGATGCCACTGCTAGTATTGTTGCTCTAAATAATAATTACCACCTCTCTGTTTGCCACATTTCCCAAAATAAAAAAGGCCCCATGAGTGGGATTCCTTTGGGATGTTGTTGATTTCATTGAGGGGTTGGGTCGCAGAGGTGGTATTCAGCAGGTTCTGACCAGTTTTGGAGAACCGGTAGTGGAAATTTTGAGTACCACCTCTGACTGGAGATTTTACAATATCCTTCCCCTGCCATGCCCACCAAGCCATGCCCACAGAACCGGTAGTAAAAAAATTTGAATCCCACCAGTAGTTGGGTGCCAGTAACTCTGTCAACCTTGGAGAGCATAGGAAGCTTCACAAACTCCTCTTTTTATTTGTATGTCAAGTTCACTGCCCTCTACTGCTGAGAGTTTCACTGAAATCCCTTGTTTGGGGAAAAAATGCAAAAGCTTTCCTTCCATTAAGTTTAATGAGAACTGGTAGGAAGAAAATACGGGCACATTTCCCTACACAGCATTATTTCAAACCAGTTGCATATAGTGGCGAAGGGGTCCATGGCAGGGGTGGGATTCTACCAGTTCGCACCTATTCGCTAGAACTGGTTGTTAACATTCTAAGAAGTTTGGAGAACTGGTTGTTAGAAGAAATTAGTGGCCTAATCCTGTAAGGAAGGCAGGAAGGAAACATTCTGGTGTTGCTTACAGAAACTGCCTCTCCATTAACCCTTATTACATTCTTGGCAGGATTAGACTTCCTGTCTCTGGAACTACTCTGGAGTTTATTTCCCCTCCTTTGCTGGTACATTGCTTGTGTGGAGTGACCATTCAAAGTTACAATGGCACTGAAAGAAAGTGACTTATGACCATTTTTCACACTTACGACTGTTGCAGCATCCCCACAGTCATGAGAGGCCAGGCGAAGAGATGCGTGCCTTGATGTGAGTTAGCCACGCCCAGCCAATAACATGACCACCAAGCCATGTCCACCCAGTCACATGACCACTAAGCCACGCCCATAGAACCAGTTATTTAAAATTTGAATCCCACTCCTGGCCCATGGTGGTCTGAAATTTGAACCTCGCTTTCCTCTTCCTAACCTACATCTCAGCTGCAGAACTCAATGGGTTGCTCTCTTTCAGCCCAATCAATTTCATAGTGATATTTTATTGTGGGGATAAAAGGAAGGGAGACCACCTAGTGTAGCCCAAGAAAAGGCAGTGATCAGTGATGAGTAAAGAAACATGGTTTTACGGCTTAGCATGAAGTGTGAATCTAACTTATTTGTGAGCAACTTGCCATTTGACCTTGGTATCCTTGAATGTCTGCATGAGGCACGAACGCAGAGATGAGTTGGGCATATGCAGAATAAGGAGACAGCCAAATAATTTTTAAAACATCTTTCTCTCTTTGCACCAGCTTGCCGAGTTCCGCCATAGCCCACACACCCTCTGAAGCTGCCACCGTCACTAACCAAACCAACGCCACAGTGTCAGTGCTTACAAACCCTGGATACTTTTTGGAGATCCTCTCCCAATTTGTCAACAAAGTCCTGAACCCCTCCGGTGAGCCACCTGTCGCCCAGGGGCACCTCCAGCTGGATTTTGACACCATGGAGGCCCTTCCTCACGAACTGCTCAACTTGTCAGAGAAAGTGGCTTTTGAGCGGCTGGTGCAGTCTGAAAATCACCTCGTGGTCCTCTTCCCCGAGAACAGCCAAGCTTTCATGGAGCGCCAGCTCGGCCAATGGTACCTAGAGGGAAAGTTGCTTCAGCAGCTGTTGGAGAAGCTGCATTCTGTGATCCAAGAGCTGAAAGCCATGCCCTCCTTCCAAGCCAACGCCAACCTCTTCCGTACTCTGCTGGCTCTGTGCTACTATCCTTCGAGGGGCTCCGGAAATTTCCCCGCTGGCGAGTCTGCAGAAATGGAGGAAACCCAAACCCGCAGAAAAATCCACAGCCTTCTGTTGCTCAAGGCTCTCCAGGTGGTGCGCACTCGTTGGCGGGAGGCCAGGAAGGTGTCGTTACGTGCCAACCGTAGCACTCAAGTCCAGGATGACTACTGCCGTCTGCGAGAGCTCAGGATAAACCTGGTCTCCACCAGGTACATCATTTTACCGGAGTCATACAATGCCAACAATTGCGTGGGCCCATGCCAGAGCCCGCTCTCCACCCGCATCCCGGACTACTATTCCCACACCATCTTCCTGCTGCGCATGCACGAACAGGGCATGCCACTCCAGCGAGCCCCTTGCTGCGTCCCGGTGAAATATTCCAAAAGTCTCATGGTTACTTTTACCAGTGATCAAGGGATGATAGTTAAGGCCTACCCAGATATGGTGGCGGAGTCCTGCGGGTGCAGGTAGAGAAGGGCAGGAGAGACAATAGAGATGGGGGATGGGATATTGGACAGTGTCCTGCTGTCCTGGCCAGTATGGGGTACCGTTTTAAACCACAGCACTACAGTAATCCCACTTCTATTGATGAAATTTATGCAGCTGTGTACATAGCAAGCTTGCAACATTGTTCTTGCTTTTTATGATGCTTGGGAAAGTTGGAAAGATCCAGTTTATTTGCAGAGAACCCTAATGAGCAAAGCGTAGGATGAGAATTTTTACAGATTAACAGAGTTGGAAGGGACCTTGTGGGTCATCTAGTCCAACCTGCCACCCAAGCAGACCCTACACCATTTCTGACAAATGGCAGTCCAGTTTCTTCTTGAAAGCCTCCAATGATGTAGCTCCCACAACTTCCAAAGGCAACTTCTGTTCCATTGGTTGATTATTTCTCACTGTCAGAAAGTTTCTCCTTATTTCTAGGTGAATCTTTCCTTATTCAGTTTCCACCCATTGCTTCTTGTCTGGCCTTCAGGTGCCTTTGAAAATAGTTTGACCCCTTTCTCTCTGTGGCAGCCCTCAGATATTGGAAGACTGCTATCATGTCTCCCCTGGTCCTTCTCTTCACTAGACTAGCCAAGCCCAGTTCCTGTAACTGTTCTTCATATGCTTTAACCTCCACTCCCCTAATCACCCTGGTTGCTCTTCTCTGCACTTTTTCTAGAGTCTTAACATCTTTTTATAGTGTGGTGACCAAAAGTGTATGCAGTACTCTAGGTGTGGTCTTACTAAGGCTTTATAGAGTGGTATTAGTACTTCCCTTGATCTTGATTATGTCCCTCTGTTAATGCAATTTAGGATTGCATTAGCTTTTTTGGCAGCGGCTGCACACTGCTGGTTCATATTTAGCTGGTTATCCACTAAGACTCCAAGATCCCTCTCACAGTTACTGCTATTGAGCCTGGTTTCACCCAGTCTGTATGTGTACTTTTGGTTTTTCTTGCCTAAGCGTAGGACTTTACTTTTCTCTACATTGAATTTCATTTTATTAGATAGGGCCCAGTGTTCAAGTCTTCAGAGGATCTTGAGATGGATGTTTAAGATCCAAAGGGACAAGTTAATGTTTATTAACTGATGTGGCCCAACAGGAAGCGTGCATCTCTTGAGTTTTCAAGGTGAGGGAGAAGTAGAAAATTCAATACAGGTGATCCTCGGTGAAATGGGACTGGGAACTCTGTTGCCAAGCAACGCAGTCATTAAAAATGAAAGATCATGGGACTGCTTAGACTTGACAGCAGTTCTGGCTGCCATTTTTAAGGGAATCATGCTTGGTTGCTAAGTGTGATGTCACACGACTGCGACGTGCGACTTGCTTCCTCGTCCACTTCGCTTGTGGGAAGTTGGCAAGGAAGTTGCAAATGGAGATCGGATGACTGCAGGATGCTGCAGCTACCGTAATCGCAGTGCCCAAACAGGGATGCTGTGATGGCCACAACTTCAAGAACCAGCCTAAGTCTCTTCATTCAGCCATCACCATAACTTCGAATGGTCGTTAAAATGAGTGGTCTCTAAATGAGGACTACCTGTACTCTTCCTTTAGGAAGTCAGCTGTGTAGAACAGTGCCCCAATTAGAGAAATAGAGGGTTGAGACAATGAGAGGAACAAAGAGCTAACAAAGAGTGAATACCTCTAGTGATCAAGAAGATAAAATGTGAAAAGCTGGTAAAGATAGTCCTCCAGTTATGACCAAAATTGAGCCCAAACTTCTTGTTGCTAAGCAAGACAGTTGAGTTTTGCCCCATTTTACAATCTTTCTTGCCACAGTTGTTAAGTGAATCACTGCAGCTGTTAAATTAGTGACACTGTTGTTAAGTGAATCTAGCTTTCCCCTTGACTTTGCTTGTCAGAGGTCACAAAAGGTGATCACATGACCCCTGGGACACTGCAACCATCATAAGTACATGCCAGTTGCCAAGCATCCAAATTTTGATCACGTGACCGTGGGGATGCTGGAAAGGTGTGGAAAACGGTCATAAGTCACTTTTTTTCAGTGCTGTTGTAACTTCAAATGGTCACTAAAACAAATGGTTGTAAGTCAATAACTATCTGTGCTTTTTAGAGTTTCATTTTCAGCAATAGCTACTATTCACCCACATTATTCTGGAGTGGCACAATTATATGTTAGGGAGATTGAAATCTTGCTCGTCTTCTCACCCTCTTTATGCATTGGGAAGCTTATCCAGACATGCTCTTAATACGCTAATGTTTTACCCAACAAATTTTCTAATGTATCTTATTCGACACAAGAGAAGACCTCAGATCTTGGAGAACTTTCCTACCTTGGACCTGCATAGCCCCTCCTTTGATGCCTTTCAAAAGAAGCCTTGAAGATTTATTTATTCCAAACTACTGTTCGCCGGTATTTATATCTAGCTGCTTGTAATGCTAGCTGGTATTTCTTAATTATGTTTGCAACAGGTTACTGTATTTTTCTGTTGTTTTCTTACGCTGTTATTATATTTCTCTGCTGCAACGAAAATATTTGAGGGAGTCATGTATTCTATTTGATGATGCTATGTGTAATATTGTTCAGTGAACTGAATGGGCTTTGAAAGGGTCACAACAAAGCTGCCTTAATAAAGAAATTGTAGGAAATGACCAGACTGACCCCGAGGGAGGGGTCAAACATGTCATCAGTCTCAAGTCCCTTCGTGCCCCCAAGAAATCTAACTCCAGCCCACCTTGAATTCCATTGACTAATCTACCACCAATTGGCTTTAGCTGTTAGTGGTTCAGATTCTTGTAGAGAGCCTAAGCTTGCAATAAATCTTTATATTCATTTGAACTGCCTCAACTTCCTGATTTTCCTCTGCTTGACAGAAATAAAGTTTAATCATTTGTCTCATTTCAAACTATATTTAACATTTTTGGTGGTTGAAATTTGAGTTCACTGCAGTGGTGAGATTCAAAAAATTTTACTACTGGTTTTATGGGCGTAACTTGGTGGGTGTGGTGTGGCTTGATGGGTGTAGCTTGGTTGGCATGGCTTGGTGGGCATAGAAGGGAAAGGATACTCTAAAATCTCCATTCCCACCTCACACCTGGGGGAAGATTACTGCAAAATCCCATTCCCTCCCCACCCCACTAACCCACTTTCCAGCTCTGTTCTCCTGTGCAGGGCAACAAAAGGAGACCCAGCTGATCAGCTGGGACTTGGGAGGCAGAGAATAGATGGGGGTGGAGCCAGTCAGAGGGGGTATTTGCCGGTTCTCCAAAATATTCAAAATTTCCACTACCGGTTCTGCAGAACTGGTCAGAACCTGCTGAATACCACCTCTGGTTCACTGCCATATATATTTATTTTATATATCTTTTGAAAAATGGCTTGTGATGTTAATTTTTATTAGGTGTACTTTACTAGCTAGCACCATCACTTTTGCCGTAACCTGGTGTTTCTCAACTTTACAACTTTCAGGTATGTGGAATTCTGGAAATTGAAGTCCACATATCTGAAAGTTGCCAGGGTTGGAAAAATTGCTACAGCCACATCCAGGGTTGTCACAGGGAGAGTCACAGCTTAGAAAACGGTCTAATAAACAAAATCTTGAGTACAAAGCAGGAATGGGGAGGGAGGGGGGGCGGGCGGGGTGTGTGGAAAAACATCTCAGTAATTACTTCCCTAATCTCAGAATTGACCCTCCCTAGTTCCAGAATGGGACAATTCACCTCAGCCATTCTACCGTGGCTGCCTCACTCTGGCCAACTCACCCTGGCCAACTTGATGTGGCACAACTCAACATAGCCAATTCCATTCCACCATTTCTTTGATATTAGTGTAACACGTGTGTGTGTGTGTGTGTGTGTGTGATAGATATATAGATAGATGATAGGTAGATAGTTATAGTTAGTTATAGTGATAGTGATGGTGAAAGTGAGTGATAGATATAGATAGATGATGATAGATAGATAGATAGATAGATAGATAGATAGATAGATAGATAGATAGATAGATAGATGATAGATAGATAGATAGATAGATAGATAGACAGATATAGATAGATACAGATAGATAAGATAGATAGATAGATAGATAGATAGATAGATAGATAGATAGATAGATAGATAGAAAGAAAGATAGATAATAGATAGATAGATAAGATAGATAGATAGATAGATAGATAGATAGATAGATAGATAATAGATAGATAGATAGATAGATAGATAGATAGATAGATAGATAATAGCTAGATAGATAGAAAGATAGATAGATAGATAGATAGATAGATAGATGATAGATAGATAGATAGATAGATAGATAGATAGTGTCATGCCCCTGGTGGAGGAAAAGGAGGAAGAGCCAACAGGGAGTGGAAGTGTGGCTTCAGAGGTGGTGGAGGAGGCTGGGGAAGGGCAGAGGCCAGCTGAGCAGTCAGAGGAGGACCCAGGCCCATCCCGTATCCATCCTAGGGCAGGCAGGGAGGAGAGGATCAGGGAAAAGCGTGGTCTACTCGGGAGGAGAGGGCCATGATCCTCCTCATGGGTTGCAGCTGTGAGCTCTGTGTAAGAGTTTGGAACTGCGTGTTCACAGACGCTGAAGTCAAATTAGTGCTTTGCTTGGATCATCTTTGCTGGCGTTCTTCCCATGGACTCTCCCCGGTTATCTTCCTGGAATGTGTGATTAATTATCTTGGTTTGCCTTGGAACTCTCGTCAATACGGTTTGTTTCCGGTTTCCTTTTGCTTCATTATCTACTTTCTGAATTTAAACTGTGTCTAATAAAACAGCGAAGCTAAGTTGAAGGCATTGCAAGACTTTGATTCCTGTTTTAGTTTTTTGTTATTTTTGAGACACTACGGGGCATCACAGATAGATAGATAGAAGAAATGCAGATTTTCTTGGACAAAGTGTTTCAGTTCACATAAAAGCTGCTTTTTACAGTTCAAAAAAGCCAAAATAATAGCCCAAGCACCTTGGAACACCAAAGACTGTATGACGGTCTGTGGTAGTGGTGGTATGCTACCGGTTCGGACTGGTTCAACCGAACTGGTAGTATAAAAATTAAAAAAAAGCCTCCGATCAGCTGAGAGGAGGAAGGAGAGGATAAAAGACCAAAAAGCACATGGGAGGGTCGCTCCTAGCTTTTTGTTTCTTCATCCTCTCAGCTGATTGGCTTGTTAGAGGAGCGCACGTCAGGGGCGTGCACACACACACACACGCACGCACAATCACCCACTGAACCAGTAGTGACTAAGGTAGGATCCCACTACTGGTCTGTGGATCCTATTCCTTATATTAAAAAAATGAAAATATTTAAG